AAGACCTGTGCAGAGAGAGCAAGGATGGGTTGCAGGCCTGGAGAGCACGCAGCATTCCCTGCCCTGCGGAGGCAAATACAGCTGCTCCGGCTGTGTGTGGGCAGGACAGCCCTTCCTACAGAGAAGCATGGGCAGGAGGTGGCATCTCCCCATGTGAGCTGGTCCCCCAAAGGACCTCACCGTGCACGGGCCTGCTGCCCGCCAGGAAGAGGCTTAAGGCAAACAGTATGAAGAGGAAACGGGCCCTGCTGCTGATCCCTGAATGCGTGACTGATACCAAGTCACTACGTTAGCAGTGACAAGGGATGGGCATCTGTTCAGATCACAGCACGGTCCCTGCCCCAGTAGGACTGTACAGGGCAGCAGGCTGAGCCTTCACTCCATTAATGCAGGAAATCCACCGGTACTGAGCCAAGCTGGGGCACTGCTTGCTTGGCAGCACCTGGCCTGGCACTACGGCTGCCTTAATCTCACTGCCTGCCCTGCCCTGCCCCTGCTGCTGTGTCTCACCCTGCCTTCTCACATGGCCCTGTCTTCATCTCGCAGTCCTTCCCATGGAAGCCTTCTGGACACAGGCAGGAATACTCCCCGTCTCGGTCATAAATGCACTGAGCCCCGTTCTGGCATGGGGACTGGTGCTCGCAGATGTGTATGTCTGAGGGGAAAGAAAAAGACAGGGGTTAGTAAGAAAAAGAGGGCGATGTGGCCAGTTCACTACTGACACAGCCCATCAAACTCGGGGGGATTGAGAAATGGCAGCAGTTTCTCTCCTTTCCCCTCTCCTCTAACACACACTGCAGCAGCAGAAATGCTGTGCGTACATGGCACTTCCCAGCTAGTTTGCAAATGTTTCAGCATTGCTGGGTACGGCACAGACTCGGGGTTGCACAGGGAGCGAGGCCTCCCCTGTCACCCTGCAAGCCTGCAGGACACCAGGAGCTGCAGGCTGCGCCACGCGCGCCGCGTGGGGCCGGCACAGAACCGCTGCGGGCACGCGCGGAAGCTACGCGGGGACACTGCCTCCCGGCCACGCAAGGGGACCTCGCTGGCCACCTGCTGAAGGCAGGAAGCCCCGGGGGAAGCGGGAGGTGCTGCCTGGAGCCCAAGCGTGGCGTGGGAAAAGCAATGAGTTCATTCGCTCCATTTCCTGAGGCTGGTCGGAGCTACGGCACCTCTTGCCACGGAGCCAGGGGGCAGGTCCCGGCAGCCTGGCCTCTTTTGCAGAAGGGAAAAGGGATGGTCCCAGCTGACTCAGGGGACACCTTGTCTCCCTGGCAGCCGGCATCACCGGTGTTGCTTCCGGCTGTGTCCGTCCCCACCATCCACGCGAGTGCAGTGGCTTCTGCCCTCAGCCCCGCAGAGAGGAAGGCAGCACCTCAGCGAATGGGCTCCGGTGAAACCCGCCCCTTGTCACCCCTCTGCCTCCTGCGCAGTGTCCCGGCCGCCTGTGCCCCGTGCCAAGCCCGGCCCGGGACTCACCTTTGTCACAGAACTTGCCGGCCCAGCCGCTGTGACAGATGCACTGCCAGGGCTGGTGACACGTGCCGTGGAGGCAGCCTGGCATGCGCACGCACTCCTCGCAGTACTCGCCCTCCCAGCCTGGATCGCACCTGCAGGAGGACAGGACAGGGCAGCCTGACGCAGCCTCGCCACGGGCTGGCTCGCTGTGCCAGATGCTGGGAAATCCTCCCAGGGAGCCCCACGAACCTGCTGGCCGCCT